AAGCTCCACACGTGTGTGGAATGTGGGATGAGCTTCAGGTGGCGGTCCAGCCTGAATCGCCACAAGAGGACCCACAGTGGAGAGAGGCCCCACGTATGTGGGGAATGTGGAAAGAGCTTTAAACTCAGGTCCTACCTGAGCATCCACCAGATGATCCACACTGGGGAACAGCCCTATGAGTGTGGGGAGTGTGGAATGAGGTTCAGATCCAGCTCTGACCGGATCCGCCACCAAATGATTCACACTGGGGAACGGCCTTACAAGTGTGGGCAATGTGGGAAGAGCTTCATGACGAGCTTCAGTCTGATCCAGCACCAGGTGATCCACACTGGGGAACAAGCCTATGTGTGTGGGGAATGTGGGAAGAAGTTCAGTTGGAGCTCTGGCCTGATCAGGCACCAGAGGAGCCACACTGGGGAACGGCCCTATGAGTGTGATCAATGCAGGAAGAGGTTTCCGACCAGCTCCAATCTCCTCCTGCACCAGCGCACGCATACAGAGGAGAGGCCCTTCCGCTGCCCCGACTGCGGGCAGGGCTTCAGGCAGAATATCAATCTTGTCAGGCACCGACGCATCCACACTGGGGAAAGACCACATGAGTGTGAGGATTGTGGAAAGAGCTTCAGCCGGAGCTCCCACCTGATCAGGCACCAGAGGACCCACACTGGGGAACGGCCCCACGAGTGTGGGGAGTGTGGGAAGAGCTTCACCTTGCGCTCTAGCCTGATCTGTCACCAGCGCATACACACTGGGGAGCGGCCCTACAAGTGTGAGGAATGTGGGAAGGGCTTCACCCAGCACTCTAACCTGATCTACCACCAGCGCAGCCACACTGGGGAGAGGCCCTATGAGTGTCCCAAGTGTGGGAAGAGNGGAGGGAGGGAAGGGCAGGGATGGAGGGGGAGGAGGAGCAGGGGTTAGGGGTGAGGAGGAGGGAGGGAAGGGGAAGGATGAAGGGGGAGAGCCAGAAGGGATACAAGAGGAGAAGGAGGTGGGCTGAGGGAGGAGGAGGAGAAGGAGGGATGGAAGAGGAGGAGTGGGAGGAAGAGGAGGGACAAAGGCAGATCGAGGAAAGTAGAAGGAAGTCCCAGCCCTGAAGCCCCCCCTCAGCCTGGACTGAGTCCCAGTGTGGGCAGCAGAGAAAGGGGGGATTCTGCTCCTCTGCCCCACTCAGGTGAGTCCCCACCTGCAGAGCTGCCCCAGCCCTTGGGCCCAGCACAGAAAGGATCTGGAGCTGCTGGATCTAGTCCAGATGAGGCACCAGAGATGCTCCAAGAGCTGGAGCCCCTCTGATCTGGAGCTAGGCTGGGAGAGCTGGGGGTGCTCACCTGGAGAAGAGAAGGATCCAGGGAGAGCTGAGATGTCCTGCAGCTCCCTCTGTGCTCTCAGGCAGGCAGAAGCAGGCTCTGGAGTCAGCCCTGGAGCAGGGCAGGTGTTGGGGGTGTGACATGAAGCTGCTCTCCTGTGGGATATCCCCTCCATGTTGCAAGCTCCTTGGTGGGAGAGTGAATCCAGGAATGTGGCTGTGGTAGTCCTTCCTTGTGGCTTGCCCCCAGCCCTGCTGTTCCCTTGGCCGCTCCTGTGGGAAACAGTGCAGGTTTAGGTGCCTCAGCACCACCAAACCCCTGAATTTGCAACCCCACCCATGAGATGGTGACTGAGGAGGGAGAGCTCGGCCCAGATATCCTGCGAGGGGTCTCTGCATTGGGTTTTTTTGGGGGGATGTTTGGAGAATGAAGCAGTCCAAGGCTGAGCGGAAAAGGCCCCT